CTGGCTCCCAGCTCAGGCTCTTGCTGGTTGTAGAGCCTTAAGCCAATGACTTCATCTCTCCGGGTGTTTATTTCCCTATCCGTGAAATGGGCTATTAATAGTGGTTACCTCCCGGGGCTGTTGTAACAGCACAGAAGCCTCGTCCATAATTAGCAAGCTGCCAGCCTTAGCTAATCATGTGGTCCTAAGACAAAGTCTGTAAGAAGGACGGAGCTGTCTCCGTTTCACACAGACACGGAGAGCGGGGCTCAGAGAGGTTGCGCACACCCTTCCAACGTCACACAGCAAGGCAGTGGTACAGGGGCTCACAGGTTCCTGGAACCTGAAATAGCGCCCCAGCCCACCGGTGCTTCCTTGGGCTTACCTGATAGGATGAAAAAGATGCCGGAAACGAAGGCCAGAATGGTCCTCTGTGGGCGGATGTGGCCAATGTTGCTGATGACGAAGGCGGTGAACACCAGGAAGAGGCTGACCATGGGGAAGGGGGTGGCCGTGCGCACTGTCTCTGGGGGAGGAGGCAGGAAGACGCAGGGGGTGAGGGAGGGGACCTTGAGTGGGACCCCTGTTCTCCCCCCTGACCTCTCCCCTTCCACTCAGGCCTCCCCTACACGCCCAGCTGGCTTGACTCCTCCCCTTTCATTGGACACGCCCTCCTCTGACTCCACCCCTTCACTCCACACTCATTCAGATTTGACTCCACCCACCACCAGGCCCCGCCCCTTCAATCTAGCTCCTCCTCCTTATCCAAAGCCTGCCTCCTTTCAAGTCCCTGCCCTTGAACTCTTGCTCCTTCCGGAGCCCCGCCCTTTCTCCAACCTCCCGCCCTGTGATAGGCCCCTGTTTGTCCAGGCCCCGCTTCCCCTCACTCAGAATATTCTCTGTGTTTTCCGTCACCAAATTGATTTCCGGTTCAAGGAAATATTCCGAGGCCACGCAGCGACCCTTCTCACGACCTGAGGGCGAGATAAGAAGGCGAGGCGGGGTGGGAGAGCCCTGAGTCCCAGGGAAAGCCTCATGGAGGTCGTCAGGGGCAGGACCGATGGGGGAGACCCCAGGACGAGCTTCGTCCGTAATTAGCAAGCTTCACAGAAGCAAAGCCCAAACCAAACCCAGTGCCGAGCCCCAGTGTTCAGACCTCTTTCAGGGTGAAAGGGGGAGTGGGGAGGATGCCTGGGAGGCCCTCTTGGGAAGTTCCCTGGTGCCTTCTGTTCGAAGGAGGAGAGAATAGGGACTCGGGGTCTAAAGCAAGGGTCTCCTGGGTCCTGACAGAGGCCGAGGTCCGGGGCCCTGATTGCCTGGAAGGAGCCTCTTGGAGTTTATGAAAGGAAAGCCCAGCCCACTGCTGGAGCCATTCCAAGTCATGGGGGCCCTCTGCGTGCAGAGCGGAAACGAGCTCCGTCGCTTTCACTCATGGCTGGGGCCTTTTCAGAGCAGCTCCCCGGGCCTTTCTTCCGAAGTGGATTCGAACCTCCAACCTCTCTGTCAGCAGCTGAGAGCTTAACCATTTGCACAACCCAGAGACTCCTTTGGTGGCTACGGGGAGACATGACCCCTTTCCCCCCGCCCAGTCGTCACTGCACCTGTGCAGGGAGCAAAGCTTGACCCCAGATGACTGCTTCCAAGGACGGACTCCAGGGCCCCCCCGGGAAGCAGAGGCTAAGAACTTGGAGATGTTTTCTAACATGGTGAGGGGGGAGCTCTGGTGGCATAGTGCCTAAGGCACTTGACTGCTAACCAGAAGGCTGGAGGTTCAAACCCACCAGCCACTCCTCGGAAGGAAAGTTAGGCAATCTACTTCCGTAGTGATACTGCCTCAGAAACCCAAGGAGGGGTCGCTCTGAGTCAAGTCAAGTCAATGGCAGTGACTTTGGTTTGGGCTTTGCTTCCAGTGGGTGTGGTTTGGGCTTTGCTCCCATCAAGACTGACAGCCTTGGAGACCCTGTGGTGCAGTTCCACTCTGTCCTCTAGGGGCGCTGTGGGTCAGAATCCCCTCCAGGCACTGGGTGTGGTTTGGGCTTTGCCTCTGTGAAGGTAGGAGCTCTGGTGGTGCAGCGCCTAAGGCATCCGACTGCTAACCAGAAGGCTGGCGGTTCAAACCCACCAGCCACTCCTCGGAAGGAAGGTTGGCAGCAATCTACTTCCGTAGAGAAACCACCTTGGAAACCCAAGGAGGGGTCGCTATGGGTTGGAGATGACTCAACGGCACAGAACAACAACAACTACAAGGTCCAGGGACTACACGGCTACAAATGTGGACTCTGGGCTGTGAAGGGTATTAGCTGCTGGGATGCAGGACCCTGAATCGGAGTCTCCGGGGGATAAATCGGATCAGAGTCTGGGTTTCTGGAACCAAGAGTTGGTCGGTGGATAAGGACTCTTGGGCCCAGGGAAGGTGGGGCCAGGTGAGTGGAGGGCAGGTGAAGTCTGTACCTGCAAAGAAGCAGACTCTCCAGAGGCCGGCGTGGAGGGCCATCTTGACCTCGGTGGTCTGGTTCTGGGGCAGCACGGTGCCCTCCTCCATGTACAGCCAGTAGTCGGTGCTGACGGCGATGCCCACGAGGAGCAGGCCGCACGCACCAAACACACTGCTTAGCAGGGTCAGGGCGCGGCTGCTGCAATGACTCATTCTCAACGGCAGGGGGCGCCCTGCGGGGCCTGGCGGAGCAAAGCGCTGGTGGAAAACCACACAGGACCCCAGAGCCCCCAGCCCCATGCAACCTGGGACACCAAGACTCCAGCCCCAAAATGGCACCCTCTGATTCTGGCCTGCATGTCCTGACCCACACCCCCAACTCCAGACACGATCAAAGACTCCACCTCTCGAATAGGGTCCCCTAACCTTGAGCTCTGTTTTCTGGACTCTGACCAGAGGCACTAACTGTTGACCCCCGACCCCAGGACTGGGCTTCCCAACCCTGAGGCCTGTTCTCTGACTCAGATACTGACTTTAGACAACCCACACCCAGAATAAGATGTTTCAGCCATGACCCTTGGCCCAGATCCAGAACTTCAACCTTGATTCCAGTCATTTGGGAAAACTGGATCCCACATATCATTACTCTGGCTAGAAACTGAAGTTCCAGATTCTTAACCCCAGAACCAGGATCCCCCAACGCTAACCTCATGCTCTGACCTGAGACCTGAGAGCCAACCTTGGACACCAGACCTCTCTCGCACCCCAGTCCCTAACCTTGAAAGTAAAACAAAACAAAACAAACTCACTGCCATGGAGTTGTTTCCAACTCATAGCGACCCCTCCTTGGGTTTCCGAGGCGGTATCACTACGGAAGTAGATTGCCCAACCTTCCTTCTGAGGAATGGCTAGTGGGTTTGAACCGCTAGCCTTCTGGTTAGCAGTCAGATGCCTTAGGCACTATGCCACCAGAGCTCCCAACCTTGAATCTGAATGTCTCAAAAACTATCCCTTTGAAGACCTCAACTCTAGGACCAGGTGTCCTCCTGCCTATGACTCTGTGCCCTGACCCAAGACCTCAGTTTGAGCACCGGACTCCAGCAAGGGTCCTTGACTTCAGCTCTGAGCCAGGACTTAGGTCCCTGGGTCCTAGCTTTGGGCCCCTGACCACTGGACGCTGAACAACTCGACGAGCCCAGAAACCCACGCTGCCCAATCCTGCCCACGTGCTGTGACCTGAGAGCATGACCTTGTTCCTTTGGATGCTGTCTCTGGACTGAAGTCTCTGGCCAGCAATCCTCAGATTGGGTCACTAGCCGAGGCTCTCCGGTCCCCGACTCCAATCCCAGATCTTCCACCGTGGACCTACCTAAGACCTTGAAGCGAGCCTTGTACCTGCGTTTCAACCCTTGGACTCTTACCTTGACCCTTAGCACCCAATTCGAACACCATCTAACCCTGAACCTGTGCCTTGACCTCAACATGGGATTCCGATCTGATATCACATCCCACAATCCAGATCCAAGATCCCTGTCCCCCAGATCTGGGCAGGCTCCTCAGCCCTGAATAGTAGAAGCAAGACACCTGGAGTTAGGATCTTGCCTAGAGACTTCAAAAGGTTAAAACCATGACCTGGGACGCTCTCCCGTCAAACTAGCGTCCAAAACAGCACTTCAGCCAAACAAGAGACCCCTCCCTCAAACAAAGAACGAGTGTCTGGACTCTAAAACCCCCACGAGGAAGCCCAAGACCCCATCTCCCCCGACATGTTCCCCACACTCCCCACCACAGATTTTGGACCCAAATTTTCCCCTCTAGGACTTCCACTGGTAGCATAGTGGCTAAAGCACTTGACTGCTAACCAGAAGGCTGGCGGTTCAAACCCACCAGCCACTCCTCGGAAGGAAGGTTGGGCAATCCTACTTCTGTAGTGATACTGCCTCGGAAACCCAAGGAGGGGTCGCTATGAGTCGGGGCCGACTCGACGGCACATAACAACAACCCAACAACAGGACTTCCACTTACAGACCCTCCTCAAGCATACAACCTGGGACCATGACCCCCAACACTGGATGCCCAAAGTAAGAAGAGGCCTCCAGTCCCAGTCGGCAGACAGATGCAACCTCCCAAATTCCAATCAGGAACCCCGTGGCTCCAACTGGGGGACCCTCAACCCACAACCCAAGGACTCCACATCCCTTATCCCCAACCCGCACCTCCCAGCCAAGAACTTTCTCCCAAACGCACAACCTCAGAGACCCAGATTCTCATCCGAACTCGGCCAGGGACTCCTCGGTGCACACCAGCCTTGAACTGTGGACCCTGGGACCCCTCCACACCTCCCGGCTACAATCAAGCCAGGAGACCCCGCCGTCTCGACCAGAATTCGTGGTCTAAGCCAGCTCCCACGGGAAGCCGGCCTCGTCCACCCCACGCCCTCGGCCCGGCCTTGGGGCCCCGGAGGACTCAGGGATCCGCTGCGCGGACCTGTGGGTCAGCTTCTCTTCCCATCCCCCCGCCGCCTGGCTCCAGGGCTCGCCCCGCCGGCCGCTTGCTTCTCTTCCAGTCCGCTCAGCCCGGGAAGAATCCCCGAAACCCAGTCCCTTGCCTGCCTCGGTCCCAGGCCCTTGACCGCAGCGTCCCCCATCGGTCCCTTAGACCCCCGGCCGGGACCCTCGCCCACGCTCGGCCTTCTCACGGCCCCCTTCTTCGCTCCAAGTCCTCTCTCTAAACGTCCCGCCCGGACCGGGCCGCCTCGGACCGTCCTCCTTGGGGGCCCCCCCCCCAGGCCCGGAGCGCCCTCCTTCTGCCCCCGTTTCATCGCAGCCTCTCCTGGTCTCGGGCATTCGGGGTCTCCCGGGTCCCACCCTCCCCGCCCCGCGTCCAAACCCCATCGCCTTCCAACCTCTTGGGGGTCTCTTTCTGGGGACGTGATTGCAAACTGACGTCCTGCCCTCATAGGGCCCGGGCCTGCATGCTCACTCGGGGCGCCGGCACCCCTCCGTCACGGCTGCGGCCTGCAGCCTCCCCGGATGGATATCTGCGACCCAGACTTGGGGCCCGAGCTTCCCGACTCGGGGACCCCCGCGTGCACTCCTTCGGGGGTCCCTAGGCCCCGAAGCCCCTCCACCCCCCCATCTGCGTCCCGAACTCGCGGCGTCCTGCAGCCGGAATCCTACCTCCGGAGCCGCCCGGACCCCCTGGAGTGCCACCCCGGCCCCCAGTCCCGTCCTGGGACGCCCCCCCGCCCTTGCTCCCAGACCCTCCCGGGGCGCTCACCTCGCTCAGGGCTGGGCACACGCTCCGGGCCGCGGGCCCCGCAGCCGCATGA